TGGCAACCGGCAGTTCCAGCCCCTTTCCCGATTAGTGCCCGTTACCGCAGGGCAGATATTCGATTAGTGCCCGTTACCGCAGGGCAGATATTCTCCAGCCGCCATGCGGCGAAGGTCGCCGTAGCCGCTGAGCTTGCTGCCACCGGCCGTTCAACGAAGAATAGAAAGGGTGCCGGCAGTCGGCAAATTCACCTAGTGTGCAAGACTTGGCTGCCAACAGAAGGGCGGTGATTTCAAGATCACCAAGGTAGATAGAGTGTCTGTGTGTGCTGGTGCTGCCTCTCCCCTCAGCCCGCTCAGCGCAGCGCCACACATTGGCACATGCATATTCATGTCAACCATGCTGGATCGGTCTCGCTTTCATAGCGTGACCCGTGCATCTCGCATATGGACTGCAGCAAGCAGTGGTCCACGGGGTATTGTACGCGTGTGTGCATGTTTCCAAACGGAACGATTGTGCTGGGGTATTGCCCGGCCATTGTTGATTTAGAGCGGAAGAGTTGATGGTTGGTGTTGTTTCGCAGGGGCGGAAACTGATTCCTGCCGCGTTGTTGTTGTTGTTGTTGTTGTTGTTGTCTTCACATTCAAAACCGTTCCGATCTCTCTCTACCCAGTATCTTCGTATGTCCGTACTGATCCAACACTCGACGCGGTCGATTCCCGTGGTCACAGGCTAACTACCCTAAAAAGGTCCACTCAAATAAACTGGCCCCGAGGGGTCCGCAAGTCAGTAGAAATCAACGACAGATATTCTGGAGTCCTCCACTCCCCCTGCGCGCTATGCGAGGTATCAACTGAGACTAGGAGTCACTGTCATTGGCCGGAGAGAAAGAGGTACACCCCCTTGGTTCAATCTTGGTACTTCACAACGCAAGCAGAGACAAGGCCATCTGGCACAGAAAAAGAGAGAAAAAAAAGAGAGAAAAAGAGAGAACAGAGAAAAAGAGAGAAAAAATAAAAAGGAAACGGTAAGGAAAGAGAAAATAAAACGAAAAATAATGAAAAAGAGCGAGGGCAAAAAGGGACCAGGCCGAAAATAACAAGAAATAAGAGGCAGAAAAAGGCACACGGTGGAAAGACCACTAACGAACGAGCAAACACGCAAATATGGCCACCAACCAGCGATACATTGTAATGGTACGTCATCACTAGTGGGGGATTGGTGCAATACTGCAGCGTTGGGGGGGGGAACTGGCTAACAAAAACTCAATCCGGCACGTATCGCGCCACTCGGTCCGTCTCTTCTCTTTTGCTTTCTTCCCTCGCCGTCTCGTCCGTCTCCTGCCCCCCTCCCGCCTCATTGGTTGTTAGCTTGTGGTCTCGTTTGAGCGCTCGTTGTCGGCTGGCCTGTTCTTCCTTCTCGTGCCAGGAGGTCATGAACCTCTCAGCTCCCTGCAGCACCGCCGCATGCCAGGGTACTCCCCCCTCCACCTTCGCGGCTTCCGTCCACTTTTAACGTCGGTGCCGTGTCTTTCGGTACCGGGATTCCGAGACAACATGGATCGGTTTTCGTAGATCCGCGGTCGGCCCCGAATGCCTTCAGGTCGTCGAGCACACACTTCGGCCAGTTATGTTCCTGTCCCCCCCTACGTGGCGTCTCCCCCCCCGCCATTTCGCCGAGCATCAGTCGTTTCGGGAGTCGCCCGTCCGGCTGCCTTGCCAGTGCTCCCGCGAACAGCAGGCGTCGTTGTCGGATCGTGGCTTCAACGCTCTGGCATTCGACCCTTTTCAGCGTCTGGGCGTAAGAGAGCTGCCGGTAGGTGTCTTTCTTGCGCTTGTACCCGACAACTCGAAGGAGCAGTCGGTGGTGTATCGACCGCAGCATCTGATAGTGGCCGCTGAGTGGTGACCATGTCATGCAGCCGTACAGCAGTGCCTCCATCGCCTCCGCCTGGAGCAGGCGGATCTTGAGTCGGAACGGCGCTTTCGGTCTGTCAAAGAGCTCCCGGCCATGTCGCCTGAGGCACGCCCACGCTGCTCTGCTCCTGTAGTTGATCTCCCGGGTAAGGTCGCCATGTTCGTTGACGAGGCCACCGAGGTACCGGAACTTGGTCGTCTGGGCGTATTTCTGTCCCGCGGCTTCCATGGTCAGCGGTGGAGGCGGGGGGAGTTGTGATGTTGTAGTCGGCTTGTCCTTCGCGCGCATCTGAATCAAGAGCGTCTCCGTCTTCTTCTCCGACACCGTTAGCCCGAACTCCCCGAACACCTCAACGATGATGGTCATCATTCTCGCCAGTCCTACTGCAGACGACCTCGATACGACGCCGGCATCATCGGCATACAGCATCCCCCATACT